AAAGCTTTCATCTTCCCTCTCTGCTTTAAAAGGACTTGTATCATCTGTTTCAATTAACCACTAAAAATTCTGTGCTAGTCGTTTACAATGTCAGCTTCCTGCCTCCTACTTTCCCCTCAGTTAAACAAACAGCAATGAAGTCCCAAAAACGTAGGTTGGTTGGTTCTCCTAGCACCTATTTGCATGTTTTTAAACAACAGTCACCTTAAAAAATATTTGAAAGGAATCAGTTCTTTGTATTAATTCTTGCTATAGAATATAGGAGTAGATACAGGTGGGATAAAACATCAAACAGGTTGAGACATTATTGATGCATATAAACGTTTTAGTCTTACAAACGAGAATCAGCATTCGATAGCATTTCATGTACTGAATTCAGTGCATTTGAAGAGTTTCAGAATCATAATGGTTCACCTATGCAGACAAATGCACACTTTGATCTTTTTTCGAATAATTTTCTAGGACTTCGTAGCCAAATGCCTTTAGGAATATGTATCCATACACATTGAAAACAAACAACACTCACTTTATAGATGCACAAAAGAAACACAAAAAGCCTTAGCCACACAAGTGTATGTATGCACCCAAACTTAAAAAACATTTTCTGCCCTTTCAACACAAGTGAAAGCAAATTAAAATGGGCAAACAACTCACAAGAAATAGCTGCCTGAAACATATGGACCTTCCTGACACGGCCTGAGGAAGCTGAAATTATCCAACATGCAAAAAGCACTGTTAATTTTGATCATAAAGAAATTAAAAGCATTATAACCATGCTAGAAATTGTGATTACTTAAAAATGGATGCAAGAAGAGCTAGATCTGTATTCTGAAAGTTGAGCATCATGCTAGGGATGTTTTTTCCTAAAAAAAGCACGTCCAACACATGCTACTCAGGAGAAGCATTTGGCTCAAAAACACAGAGCAAAGCCAAGAAATAATCAAACTGAATGTATCTGCACTACAGATATTTCCCTCTCAGCCCACTAATATTCATGCCTCTTCCCATCTCTCTCACCACTGGTTAGTTCACCTTCAGCATGCAAAAGAGTTGATGAGGAACTGTCCCTCCTACTCTACCTAATTTTGCTCAGCTGATTCCTGGCCCTGGACAATGGCTGCAGTGCGATGAACTCGTCACTTAAAGCAACTCTGTTGGAGTACATCTACAATTGGACAGAGAAGGGATGGAACATACATGTCAGTAAGTAGCAGCAATAATTTTCTAAGAGAAAGACACAGGACAAGACATTGTTATTTAAGTGGAATACACATTATATACAGAATACCTTCAGGACAGCTCCTGGGATCACGGCCGTACTTTACCAGACATCTTTATTCAGTATTACCTTCTCCTCTCAATAGTTCTGTGATTTATATTTACCCAAAGATTTATATTTTGATTCAGATTTACCTTAATGTTCACTTCCTCCTATATCATTCTGTAACAGACTTATAGTCAGAAATTACCCAGGAGCTACTTCAGAGCAACAGACCAAAGTCAGACATAATAAGATGGATTTTCTTTAAAGACAGAAAAAAAAAGTAAAATAAATTACACACATGCACCCTGAGTGCATTAAGGAAGGTAGTTAACCAACTCATCCCTTTATAGAAGTCCACTCACACCTGCCTGTCAAATTTTTAGTATACTGACTTCCCAAAATGGAACAGACTTTTTTTTTTCCGAGTTGTGTGACACAGAACAATATTTTATTTAAAAGTTTATCTTTAGCAGAATTTCACAAGTGTTTGTCTCTCATACTAGTTAAATTTCTTTGCTCTCTTATGAGTAACTTTGCTACACCTAACATCTAACTGATGAGAGACAGATTGACTGTTGAGACTATGACCTTATACTAAATAAAATATACCAAATCGAGTTCCTTATCTACTCAGTAGAGTACGGCAGATGCCTACAGATACAGTGAATTCAGAACACTAAGTTGGGTAACTCGGAGAACTATTGAGCTCTTAGTTTCTGAATGATTAAAACAATAGGGGCAAGCACTTTCCGTTGAGAAACCTGTGTTTTGCTCACTGCTCCTGGGAATATTTCAGAACTTAAATGTTTGGGGACAAAAACAAATAACTTAAATAGTTGTGATTTTAAAAAAACTTAGGGACCAGTTCATGTAATAATTTATCTTGCCCTGATAAAAACTTATAACTGTAAAGTAAATTTCTTCTTTCACCCAACACGGAAATATACTAATTTAGTCCTACAATTAAAATGAATAATTAAAAATATTCAGTGATATAGAGGGTGCATCTACACCAAGAAAAATGTATTTAAATGGGCAATATACAAAGTTCCATATTCACTCTTTCAAAGACTTCCACAGACAATTCCTTAGCTTTCAGGACAAAGACATTCTCCGAACTCATTCTGTCTGAAAGTCAAGAGTCTTTTCCTCTGTTTTGAAACTGAAAAAGAAAATATTTACTAGAAATTTTAAACAAATCTAATGAGGTATAACCATGAAAGAAGCTTTTTGTCACTTCTTGATAATTCATCTGCGAAGTCGGACATCTGTTCATCTCCACTTACGTTTACTTCCCCACTACAAGAATAGCTGCTGAAATCCAGTGGGGCTGACTGTCCCATTAAAAGAGCGAGCAGGAAAACCTCAACAGAATAAACCTCAAGAAAGCAACACGCAGGTGCCTTCTTTTTACAAATACACTTTTAACTATGATTTCACTGTCAGACACACACAGAGAAAACACTGAATGCCTGCTGAAGCATTTCTGGTCAGATCAGATTTTAGATACCTCAACTTTGCAATATCAGGAATTCAGTGCTTTCAGAAAAAGACAGTATTTTGGTAAAAATAGACTCTAATGCTGACACTATCAAATGGGAACAAGGGGGAGGGGAAGATGACTAATAGAGATGCACGAAGCAAAGTCTCCATGGCTACAAATCAAGCTATAGCCACAGCAAAGATGTTAAGAAGCCCAATTGTGTCCTTGGCAACACAACTGCAATGGAAGCAAACTGAACCAGGAAGTTCTTTAAAATTGATTCAGAAAGCAAAAGAATGCAACAAGAAGTATACAGATAAGGCTAGAGAAAAAAAAGATGTGGGCTTTTTGGTTTTTAATTCAAGAACTTTAGGAACATGAGACACCTCAATTACCATTCTGATACACTGCCAAAAGAACAGCTGATGTCCAGGAAAGGAAGGAAAGGGAAGTGTTTGATAAATATTGCCACTAGTTTTTGAATGAAAAAGAAATAGATAAGTAACTATCATTACCTACAGAATTTCTCCTAAATCAAGACACTCTAATCCAAAAAGCAGGATAAAATGCAACCAAGAGTGTTATCAGGTCTAGCTGGACAGTTTTCTGAAAGCTAGTGGTTATTTACCTTGGCTTTTAGCTACTAAACTCCAAGACTGGAAAAAGCACCTAATGTTCCAGTTCTGAAAAGAGACTAATGGGATATTTTGGCTTGCAATAGCGTTTGTCAGCATGATGCTGATCCTGGGCAAATTAAAAGAATGTCTGACATAATTTTTTTTTTTTTTTAAAAACACACAAATTAGAAGCATAATATAAGTAAACTGACATGCACTTACAGCACAGTAATTACAAGGTTGGCTGCTAAAGGTAACAGTATTGATGTAACGCAGTTAAGAGTTCTGTAGAGCACATAGCTCAGTGTAATTTGGATTAAGCAACTAGGACACCACAAAACCAATGTGGCACATGAACAGACTAAAAACTCCTGAAAGGTTTCAGAACATAACATAACTGTACATGTAATATCTCTGTCAACTGGATTCTTCCTTCACTTTAACATTTTTTTTTGGCCCTAAGCTATTTGACTTCTTATCAATGACCTGGAAGAAACAAACATAATCACTTGCGGATGAGAAAAAGGTGCAGAAGGTAACAGCTTACTGATGTATAATATTTTGTAAACTGAATACAGCTAGGGGATTCATTATTTCCATACTTGGCAATGATGTACGCTGTGCTGGAATATTGTGTCCATTGGTAAAACTCAAAATTCAAGATGAGCTTATGGAATGGTGAAGATTAAAGGAGAAACAAAAGGATGATTTTTTAAAAGACTGGGAAAAAGCCTTTTTGACAAAAGATGTAAGTTCAATCTACTTATCAGTGAGAAAAATCAACTTGATCACTAACCTAACCATGAATAAAACACAAATTGTTAATAGAAAGTCTTTTCAGTTTAGCAGAAAAAGTACAACAAGATAAAATGCTGAAAACACCAGAGACACTAACTATCAGAAAAATGGGTCAGGATGACTTCTCCATAACTGGCACAAAAGAGAAAACACTCAAACGCAGATGAGATATTTACCTAAGAGACAGCCTAATTTCAGTAGAATGATTTCAAGAAGTTTTTGTAGCCTGTGTCATGCAAAAAGGAGATTCTATTACCACAGCATATCTTTAGACCTCTTCTATGAATTTATGAAAATGTCACCTGGGTAATTATCTTTAATTACATCATCAACAACCAAATACATGGCATATGATATGATCAAGATTTAAGAAATACTAATTAAAACAGGTCCTACTAAAGTAATTTTAAAAATTATTGTTTTCATTACATTTTAAGAATTATTCAGTGCCAATTTCAGTTGAGGAGAGAGCTCCTAATATCTAGATAAAAATGCGAGTAAGTTTCCATCTTTAAAGCAGTACAAAAACACGCAATATGATCCTCTCATACAGTTGCAAGCTGAGATGCAAAAGACTGAGTGACCCCTTTATAAATAATTCTACTATTGTTAATATCAACTACTCAAACATAAATTATTTTCTTGCAAAATGGTGTCCTCATTTTCGTAATTTTAAATTAATTATGTTCTGAAATGAGAACACTTCTATGCATTAAACATGACAGCAATGTAAGAGGATAATTAAATATCACGGGAAAGTAATTAGTTTACAGGACAGATTTTAACGAAAGTGTTCTTTTAGCTATTGATCAGGTTGGATACAAAAGCATAACATTACCTGAGCTTTTTCAGTACTCGTCGGTTGTAGATGTCTGTACAGCACTTTCTTCACAACATCAAGAAACAAACAAGCAACTACTATGAGGATTATGGCAAACCAAGCAGAACCACTTGACAACAGCTGAACAAATACAAAGTACATGTCCTGGGTATGTAAAAATGGCCTGAAAAGTTGAAATAAGTGGTAATTACTAAAAGGAAGCTCTAGAAACAAAAGTACAGCACAGGTAGGCTCTAGTGTATCTTATTTTACGTCAAGTAGCAAGTGTCTCAGGATGCAGAGTTACAACTGCATGGTGTCCATGAAGAAGTCTAGCAATCTGTTGGACTTGACCAGCAAAGGAACTCTGGGGAAGGAGGGTACCAAACTTTGTA